ACTGACTTCATTTGCCACAAACCCCCTCATAGCAGGATACCTCTGTGGCAGATGGGGATACGAAAATAAGGTACTAGATCCTGCTGAGACAGGAGAGGTGGGTTTTACTACTAGAGGAGCAGTTGAGTCCCTCACCACTCCCATGTTTACCCCACGTGAGTGGAAACCCACCGCATTATTTTAAGGGAATCTGTTGCCTCTTGTAGCTTCTCTGTTAACATCATGTCCTCATCAAGTACCTGACAAGCACCAGTACGGGTGTGCAAGAGGCTTTTAACTAATCTGTTGGTTTCTGGAGATTTCTAGGCTTCTTGCAAGGGAAAAGACCTCAGATCCCCACCCTTACTTTCCGTGTCCTAAGGCTTCCAGCTTCTCCTTGCTGGTCAGCTGGACCTCACTGGCCATGGAGCCCAGGATGGAGTCGAGGTCCTGGGTGTTGCCTTTGTACCTTAAGGTAGAGCCTGGGCAATAACTGAATGGAGCAGGGCATCTCGCCAGCAGCAGGGACTGGCTCTCCAGGGACATTTCAGGCCTTGGCGATGACAGCTAAAGGGCAGCCAGAAGGACACCATCGGCAGCAGCGAGACTCAGCACCTCCCGTGGCTCTGCGGTCAAGTTGGTCTGCACCGTGGCCAGGTCAGAGCTCAGATTATCCACAGGGGCTGTGTCCTCTGTAACAAGAAAGTGTTGGAAACCTCCTCTGCCTGCTGGCAGTCAGCACAGAGAGACTTGGCAAAAAAAAAGTTGTTAATAATAGACACTCCTTTGCCTTTCACCTACCCTTTCCATCTCAGGATCTAAAGGACCGTAGCCGCAATAATGCAATGAAACACCCTTCCCCCAGGCAGGGCGGGATGCTCAGGCCAAGAAGGATTAAACTCCCTTGCCACAGCCATTCATCACCCCTCACCTCCCTCCATGCTGCACCACGTGCAACACGCTCTAGACACAGCCCCCTTCTCCTTTGACACGCCGAGGGATGGCATTTATATCTTGCCGAGACACACAGACTTCCCACCCTGCCCCCTGTGCCAAATAATGCAAAGCTAAAAATTCAGCACAGGATTAAAGGGAAGGGAGAAATGGAGAGAATTTAACCTCTGCTGAGAGCACGGCGTATCCCACGCCAGCTGTGGGCCAAGCACGAGCTGCAGAGACCGAGCTGCAGAGACCCAGCTGCCTCCCCGTGCTCCTGTCACTGGGTTGCTGGCTGGAGGGGCCGTGTAGGAGCAGAGAGCAAGGAGGGAAATATTGGTCCCCCCCTACCTGTGGTGTGTCCTAGGGCTTCCTGCAGCTCCCCGCTGGCTAAGGGGACCTCCATGGTGCCCATGTTGGAATCTGCATCATGGATGTCAACCGTGTCCTCGGGGGTATGGGGGAGGATAGAGCTTAGTCAATGGGGAAATATGTTTGAGGAAGGGGACCCCAAAATACAACAAGAGTTTGCAGGGAGACTCTTGCCTGCACCTTTAAATGCCTCATCAAAAGGGCAGTTTACAACACTGAGAAGTCTCATATCCACAAAGGATTTGGCGATTTTTAGATACTCTCACCCCAAAACTGCTTCCCAAACCAGGGTCTTTTTGGCCAGATGTAGGCCGGAGGTCCAAGCTTTTCCCAGAGCACGGTACGCTCATCGCACACTAACCCTGACTCCTTTACAACCCTGGAGATCCTGTAATGGATGAATCCCAGAGCAACCCAGTCTGATCTCACAGCTGACCCAGCTTCAAGGAAGAAGTTGGACTAGAGACCTCCTGAGGTCCCCTCCAACCTGAATTATTCTGTGATTTTGTGCCCTGGGAAATGTCAGCATTTTGGATTTTCTTTAATTCCAGCTCTTTCCCCTCTTCTTCCCCAAGTCTTAAGCTTTCTGCCCAGCAGATGCTCCAGATCCTGAGCAATCCCAAAGTGCCGACATACTCACGATCCACTGCCACCTCCTCCAGTGTCTCCTGGTGATTCTGGTCCGGTAAGTGGTTTTCCAATGGGGGTGGGTGAGACTCCACTTCTCCGACATTGACCTGCTTCCCTAGGACCAATAGGGAGACGTGTTTCATCTCAGAAAATTGCCTAAAGACCTGGACAACACAGTTCTGGGTTGTGAATGGGACAGAAGGCACCTTAAATCATCTCCTAGCTGCATCAGGAAGCACTTTGCTTGTTCTTGGATTTATTAGCAGACATCGGTTTACAAGAGGAGCTGACGTATTAATGGGCTCCGAGGGAGCCAACTCAGTGCTTTCAGGGATAAAAGTAGCATTAAAAAGAACCCCGGCCCCGAGTGTTGCTGCGGGAGCTCTGTCTGTGGGATGGGTTGCAGGGTGTCCCCGCTCTCTGGAAACCTCCGTGGGGGAAATTTCCCTGGGGATCCCTGTCCGCAGTGGGAGATGATCAAAAAGCAGCACACAGAGGTGGAAAGTGCCTGACTGAGCGTGTACAGACATCACCATCTAGTGGTCCCCAACTCTAACAGACATCGACGCAGACCAAAATTTGCAGGTTCAGCACGTTTGGGGTTATTACCTCTCACAAAGGGCTTCTCCCAGGGAGCTGAAAGCAACGGCCACCTCCACCGCCTGCCCCAGAGGCACCTCGCCTGCTCACGCTCCTTTATGCCAGCCAGCACAGCGACACAGCCCGGATTTTGGGGTGCACCCAAGCTCACTTGCCTGGTGTCACCTCTCTCTCCCCGTTCTGCCTGATGTCACAGAGCACCTGGTGGCATCGCTAGCATTCCCAGGCTCAGCTCCCCACCATCAGCAAGCGGGGATAGGATCCAATGGGGTCCAGTGGGATGTCTAAGGCACAGGGTGGCACAGGGATGGGGACAACATCCAGGGCCTGAAGATAACTGTGCCTTCATCCCTCCGGCTGCTGCTGGCTAGTCCCTCTGCCATGCACACAGCCCTGAGCAGGATCAGCCCTGTGCAGGCTGGGTGCATCCCGCAGGAGGGACCCTCTCTGGCTGGGCTCAGTGGGGAGAGTGGGGCAGGTTCCCAGGCTGGATGACCTGGGGTGGGTGGCTGCCCTGAGCCCCAGGGGGGCACCACACCCCTGTGGCACCATGAACTCTGCAGCATCATGGAGCGGGCGCCCAAACCAAGCGCTGCTTCAGGGCAAGCGTAGAGGGATCAGCCGAAACCCTTGCACCCCAAAATTCCTCTTCTGCTCACTCTGCGCTGGGGCAGCCTCAGCCAGCTCAGGGGTTTCATCCTGCTCCTTCATGCTGCAGCCAGGCTGTGCCTTGGACACCCCGTTGCCTGCCCCTCAGCCCACCCTGCAGCTGAAATGCTCCTCCTGGGGCCAACTCCAGCTGAGCCAAATCCAACCCAACCCCAGAGCCCGCTTGGGTGCTGGAAACACCCACCTCGAGTCCCTGCCCCATACAGCTGGGGGCACTGAGTGCTGCCCCAGGTGCCTGAACATGCTGCATGGGCTGGGGGCACCCCGTGGCCCAGGGGGTGCAGGGGGGGTGTCAGAGAGCTCCGTGAGCAGTTGTTCCAGCACCTTCTGTGGTCCCGAAATGCTGCTTTGAAGGGCGGCCGCTGGGTGTCCCCGCAGCCCTGTGCAACGCGGGGGCTGGGGCTGGGGGTGCAGGCAGGACCCCGCTCCCAGGTTTAACACCTTCACCCTCATCCAAGGCCCCAGCCGGCCCTAGGGCGGTCCTGCAGCTGTCCCAGCCCAGTTCCCCTCCTCTGGGGGCTTCTCCAGCAAACTGGAGAGCTCACAGGGACCTGTGGGGCAGGATGGGGGGCTGCTGGGGTTCACCCTACTTGCAATGAAACAAGGTGGCTGCCAGGAGCACCCCAGTCTGCAGTGGGCTCTGGTCCACCCCATAGACCAGACACGTTATCCACCCTGAGAAGGGCAGCAGTAACAGAGCAGAGACCCCCATGGGGGGGGCCCACAGCCCTGCTCCACTGGCTCCACTATCCCTCAGCCCATCTCAGTGCAGACCAGCTCCCCAAGTTGTGCTGGGGTGCCAGGGGCTGCCCAGGGGGCAAGAAGCCTGGGCACAGACCGCTGGTGTGGACACTGACACTGTTAGTAGTTTGAGGGTTTTTTATTTTACTTCTTTTTATTTTCGTGGTGTGAATCTCTGCCGCTCTGGTGCTGCCCATCCAACCACCCCCGCTCCAGGGCTCAGCCCCAGCCGCTGCTGCCTGCAGCCAACCCCTGCTGGGGACAGGCCAGCCAGGGAACTGGGACACGTGGCTACCACCAGCTCAGCCCTGATGCTGTCGGGGCCCTTGGGGCCAGCCCCAGACCCGTCACAGGGTCTCTGGTTCTTTTTGGCACAATCGAGGGGAATGGAGCCACCATGCTCTGGCTGGGGCAGGGACCAGACAGCAGCGCTGTTACAGCCAGACTCTGCTACCAGGACATTTCTCAGTTTCTCCCCGAAGAACAAACCACAGGTGATACCCAGCCCCAGGCGGCAGGATGGGGCCTGAACCCTGCCTGCTCTTCCAGAACCCTGAGCTACACCGAATACCAAGCATAATGCAGTTACGCAGCCCAAAGGGCACAGAAAAGGGAGAGAGACGGCCAGGATCAAGGGATAACAGGCATCACGAGGTTGCTGCCTGCACATCCATGTGCTTTGTGGCATGGGGACCGTCAAGAGGGACAGAGGGAAGCTCAGTACCATCCCAGGGGATGAGCCAGGCTGCAGCTGGGACCAGCACAACTGATGCTGCTACAGAGAGTTGGCTGGTAGTGCAACTTGAGTGCACGTGGAGGAAATGAGGAAGGGCACGACGATGCCGGGGCATTGGCTTTTCACCGTCTGGGGGTACAGCCACGGCAGAAATGGGTGGCTGCAAGAAGCAGGGGGCTGCGGGGTTGCTTGAGTGGTGTCCTCAACCCACAAAGGCACACAATGACTCCTGCCTGCTGGCAGCGAGTGCAGCTGCCATGTCCCGAAGGAGACAGCTCCTGTACCCAGGGGACCACATTTGTCCAGTGTGCAGGGGGACTCTCTGAGCAGGTAGAGCTTCACCAGCACGGGCCCTGGAGGAGAGCACAGCTCAGCCTTCGGTTCGAGCAGCCACTCCCAAAATCCACTTGGTCCAATGAGCACCTAACAGTTCACAGCCTTGCCAAGCAGAGGAAGTCCCATTCCTCTGCGTTCAGTGTATGGAGGGGCCGCCGGCTCCCACGAGGCGACCCACGGAGGTAAGGATGAGAGGTTTGCCATGGAAAGCACGTCCCTGCAGTTACAGTGGGGTCACGGAGAGCAGGGCTTCGGAGGCAGTCGAGGGATTGTTAAGTTACACGCAGACACACTCACACACACACACAAGCTCTTCTGTAAACCAGACTCCAGCAGATCCCACAGATCCTCAGCTGATCCCACGGCCAGCACTGGATGCAGCAGCATCCTTACATGTTCCCACGGTATGTGATGTTGGTAAAGGTAGATGTAGCCTCTTTATATAAAGGGTTGTGGCCCTGGAAGAAGAAGAAAAAAGAGCATCATCACTTTGTGCTTGGCATCAGCATTTGTTCTACTCTACAGCTAGGGAAACTGAGGCACCATTTCAGCATTGAGTGGTGGATCCATGTCTCCTGCTCAAGGCTTTGCACAGTTTGAACAGCTCCCCATAAGGTTTCAGGGGAGAGAGCAGGGAAAAGGGGCTGTGGAGGAGAGGAAAGGCAGCAGCAGCTGAGGAGTAGAAAGGCCTCCTGAAAAAGCCACCCCATCCCTCGCACTGGTGCCATCCCAGCCCCCTCCCTTGTGCTCCAGGTGCCTCAGCCCTTCCAGCATCCCGTGGTAGAGTCGGCCTCACTCATGGGATGGAAACACTGGTGTGGGCAGTGAGTAAGAGGGTCACACTGGTGACAAGTGCTTGGGTTATGCTGGAGGTGGGAAAGTCATCTGGAGCGTCTGCTATTGCCTATTCCCAGGCCCTGGGACCACAGCAGGCTCAGGGAAAGGGTGTCCAGGCTGGCAGTGTCACCCCAAGTCCTGCCTGTGACATCCTGCCATACTTCAGAGAGGAATGGGGCAAGCTGGTCCCCAAGAACCATGCCCTGGGACCACAGACAGCAACCAGGCTCTCGTGCTGGGAGCACTGGGGTCTGGATCCACTCAGCCCAGGGTCTGTGGGATTCAGGGGCTCCTGCCCAGCACACCCGACCCACTGGCACTCACCGTGTCCCACTTGGCCCTGGCCTTCTCCTCCTCGAAGCGGGCAAACTCCCGGCGGTCGTGGATGGTGATGAGGAGCTTCCAGATGAGCAGGGCAGCGAGGCCGATGAGCAGGATGGCGCCTGTCACCGAGAGCAGGACCACCAGGACGTCCGGTCCCTTCGGGCAGTCTGGCAGAGGGAGCAGAGCAGGGTTGGTGGGGCTCAGCACCCCCAGGGCAATTAAAAGCAGCTCTGAGGCTGCCTGACCATGGGTACATGGAGCTTCCCTGGTCTCGGGAAGGCTTCATCCTTCCCTGTTAGGGAGAAGAAGCCTCCACCCTTGAGAGCAGCAGGCTCTGTAGAGGAGCAGCCCATCCATGGGGTGCATGTGCTGAGATCCTCGAGCTCGTGTATAGAGGATGGGAGTCTGCACCCCTGGAGCTGTCCAGGTCAGGGGCATCACAGGTCCCATCCGTGGCGGGGGAGGACACTGGAGACCAAATCCTTGTGCTGGTGGAAGTTCATCCCCAAACCACCAGCCCGGCTGATACCCTGCACCACCCCTGCTGTGCCAACAAACTGAGGTGGCGAGACCTGGTGTGAACCCCAGCACCCACCTTGCTCCCCCCGCACGCTGCCCGGGGCTGTGCAGACACCCTGGCCCCCGCCTGCCTCTCTCCTCTGGGTGTGGGGGCCAGGGAGGATGGGCTGCAGCCCTGCTGGTGGCAGGCAGTTATATTTAATATGAAAGCTGGCAGCTGCCTTCACAGCCTTGATTTTGAAGGATCTGTGGCCGCCCAGCCCCGAGCTCAGCTAGAAATCAGACCTCGAGGTTCCTGGAGACCCTGGGGCTGCTCCGTGTGGTGGGGGGCTGCCATATCCCAGCCTCGGAGCGCAGCTGTAGCATTGCCCCTGCCCGGCTAATGGGAGCCAGTTGAGAAAAAGTCACCCCCATGGAGTCAGAAACAGGATCAGGGCGGTGGGAAGGTTGACCCCCCATCCTTGGCCTCAATGCGGGGGTGAAATAACCAAGCAACGCGGTGGGGAAATGTGAGACAGGCAGGAAATCACTGCCCCGGTGGCACGGAGCAGGGAACAAAGCAGCTCTTTAACCTTTCTCGGCCCCTGACCGTGGTGCCCCTGGTGAGCCTGGTGGTAGTGAGAGTTAGAAAAAGGACACAAAATCCTCTCATTTTTTAGCACAGAAACCCAGCGTGGCACACTGCACCTGCCCAGCCCAACTGTGACAGCCAGGTCTCACCTGGCTCCTCGATCACGTAGAGGATGGACTTGCCACTGGAGTCCTCGTAGTACTGGAACCGCACCACGCAGTCGTCCTCGTCCTTGTAGGTGCAGTTCACGGCGTCCTTGCCCCTGTCAACTGCCAGAGCGAGAGGCTCAGAGCGCCCCCGTGCCAGGGGGGATGCACACGTGGATGGAAAGCGACTGGTGGATGCAGCCCCCTGGATTTCCACGCTTCAGGGCAGGGATTTGGGTCTGCTCTCTTACCCAGTTCCTGCACAGTCTCAATCTCGTCGCGGCACATGCGGCTGCAGGACTGCTGCTCCACCAGCGCTCCTCGCTCGAACTTCTTGCACTCCACGCAATCCCTGAGGAAGAGGAGGGAGGTACCATGAGCTCCTCCATGCTCTCCCCAGGGGGACCATCACACCTTTCAGTCTCAGGCTGTGGAAATCACTGCAGTCCCAACCCAACCAGGCTGCAGCTGCTGAGAACTCTTGCTGCCAGCTCCCTGATGGGATGTGACCCATCCCAGCTCCCTGCCCCCTCTCACTTTTTTATGGTGCAGGCATCCGGGCACGTGGGACACTTCTCGCAGGTGTTGCCGTAGGAGCCAGGCTGGGTGCAGTCGCACTTGCCGCAGACGCAGGAGCCGTGGCCGCTGCACACCAGCCCGTTGCTTGACATGCACGTGTCCGTGCGGGTGGTGCAGTTGCAGTAGTCACCAGTCCAGTCTGAGTCGCACAGACAGTCCCCGCAGCTGCACTTCCCGTGGCCTGGGGACAATGCAGAGGGCATCAGGACCCTCAAATGTCCCCATAGATCCTGTTAGCAGTCACCCACATGGGATTCCCGTGTACCCAGAGTGGCAGCTCCATCTCCGTGGGCACAGCAAGGCAGGCCAACTGCCCAGGACAGCCCCTTTCCACTGTCCTTGGAGTGGGACACACAGCAGCTCACATCAAACCTCAACCTTTGCCATGTCCCCAACACTCCTCTCATTCCACCAAAACACCAAAAAACCTGCCAAATTTCAGGCTGAGCTACCCCAGCTGTGGCAGGTTGGCAGCAGCAGCTGGAGATGCTCGATCAGATCCATCTCTGGGCTAGTCAAGCTTTGATTTGGCTTTTAATTTCAGTTTGAGTCCGGACATCTGGTCAAACCCCTCAAATCCCACTCTTTTCCCAGCCCTGGACCAGGCAGGGGAAGCTGACTGCTGGGAAAAGCCCAAAAAGCTCTGCACGCTCGCTGAGACTGGTTTAATCAGACAGACAGACAGACGTGTTCAAACCCTGCCAAAGCCTGGAGCTATTTGGATTGTGGTTTGATTTTGACTCAAAGACAAGACATGGTGAGTGGTGGAAACGCCATGGAGCCGGCACACGACGATCCGTCCCGAGTCCCAGGCGCACCGAGGCACGTCGGGAACGCTGCTCCTGGCGGGGAATTGGCTGGGCGCCATCCCCACCGTGGCCTTGGGGGCACCAGCATGAGAAATAAATATGTAACCCTGTTAATGAGGAACTAGGGCTGAGTCACAGGAAAATAGCGCCACGCTGGGGGTGACAAGGCATGGAAACAGACCGGAAGGCTGGAGAGAATTGGCTCAGTGGGGTGGGATCGTTGCCAACAGGACGGGATCGGTGCCAACAGGGTCAGACAGATTGGGTTAATTAACAGCTCACCCAGGCTGGGGGCAGTGCTTTGTCATTGCCCTTTGCCCATTGTGCAAACAGGCAGTGGGAGCAGGGACAGGAACCCAGGTCCCTGAGGGCACCGAGGGACTGTTCAGGGTGGGGGAAATCCCCAGCGTTTCCGCCTCTGATATCAGCAGGTTGTTAAGATAAAGGATCAATCCCAGCAGCACAGAGGCAGCAGTGAGCTCTGAAGTTGGGCTGAGAAGCAGGTGGGGTCCCAACAACTCTATTTGGGGACATTGTGGACCAGGAACCAAGTGTCACCTGGACAGCAGGTTTCATCTCACCCACGCTGGGCTCCAGCAGAGTGGGATCAGCTTTGACCACTGATGTTTTCCTGGGGATTTTTGGGCTTGCAGCAGGAAAGTGGTGGCTTTTTTTGTCACTGTGTTAGCAGCCACCTCACCTGGGCCCACAAAGGGAGGCTGAAGATAGGAAAAGGGGTGACTACCCCTCTGTTGTTTCCCCCTTGAATCGTTTTTGGGGTGCTCTGCTCTTGGAGGGGATGTGCCATGGCTTCATGTCTTGGGCAGTGCCCTCCCTCCTCTCTCATCCCTCCAAAAAACAGGAGATGGGGCAGACTGCCAGGGTTCACTCAGATGTCCAGTGCTTACTGGAAATATGGGTGGGAGAAACCCTAGGTGAGGGTCCTGATGGGGAAGAGGCCCTGGCACATCAGGACACATGACACTGCTGTTGGGATGGGTGTTTTGCAGAGAGGCTCCTCCCCTGATCCCTGGCAGGGGATGAATACCTGGTCCTCGCTCCC